ACTGAAAACATTATACTCGAACAAATAAATTTGAAAATAATTCACGGAGGGTGAATAAAATGCTGTTAGAATTGAACAAAGAAATGTTCAGTCCAGTTATTTCTTTGAGAATGTGAGCGGTATTTTTTTGCGGAACTATTTTCTTTGTAAGAATTCTGTATAGATGTCTGATAAGAGTGGTAACCAACTCGTTCGGCATATGCTGCTTCTCAAATGCAATCAGTTTCATTTCCTGATTGCTGAAATGTTTTTTGCTGGAATTTTTTAAGCAAAAATCCTAATAAAGAATTGTCGTATGCTTCAGAATGCTATTTTCTAACCTTAGTGTTCAAAGACTCATTATCGCTGAGATAGGAAACGAATGAAACATACTAATTTTTATAATTGCATTACGCCACTGTCGAGTGTCGACATTTATTTTCATTCATCTTCGCAAATATCATGTATTCAATGCCGACATTTTTGAAGAAAAAACTCCTTCAAACAGTTTGAATTCAAGTATCATAGGTTGCTTATTGTGTTTGGTTTTTTGTTTTGTTTTGTTTGACAATGAGTTGATGAACAAATTATTCGGAAGGCAACAAAACTATAAACGCTCCAGCAATCTGTTTTGGGTTGATACATTTGGCCTCTAAATGTTTTCTGCGGGTCGCGAAAATGAACTGATTTGCCTCATCGGAAGCAGCTTAAATTTTGCCAATGGTCTTCAGTGAATTTTCTGTTTCTTCTCTTACTTGAAAAATTCAAAAATGTGTGAAAAAAAATCAGGATGTAAGATAAAATTTCTCACAACTTTGGACAGAATGATAGGATTTTGAGCCTCGGTGGGCATAACTATATGAATGATATTCAACTTTGAATTATGCAATGGAAATATTTAAAATTTCTAGAAGTTCTGAAGGTGAGAAAATTTAAAGTCACAAGCATGTTATGTTTTTCGCGTACGATTGCTGAATTATTTTTAAGAGGGAGAAAAAAAGATGTTTATGGAATGCCAAAAAATGGAAATCCAAAAATAACCTCCTTGCTGCTGTCTTACCTTCAGAGCAGACAACGTGCTTTTACACAAGCTTAGAGGAAGAGAAAGTGAAGAATCAAGGGACTCACCAAGGAGTTCATGTCGATATAAACAGCCAATACTCTTTGAACTCAAAAGTGTTTTTTCGATACTTCAGGGTCGTTAGGACGCTAAACCGCCGATGACTTCCTTGTTGAAGACTCGCTTACACACGGGTTTAGTCTTTAGGCGAGAGTTTATATACTCCTGTGGCCGCCGCCCTTTGGGAAACTGCATGCATGTAGACCCAGTCGGATCTCGGAAGCGAACCCGCCCCTGTGGCACTACGTACCCGCCGGGACAGCGATATTTCATTTACCGAAGAACGGTCTCTCCTGTGGCCGCCGCCCTTTGGGAAACTGCATGCATGTAGACCCAGTCGGATCTCGGAAGCGAACCCGCCCCTGTGGCACTACGTACCCGCCGGGACAGCGATATTTCATTTACCGAAGAACGGTCGAGAAATTAATGTTTGACATTATCATTGCAGTAAGCTAAATGAACAGTATTGGTCAGTCGAAATAAGTCTGGGTTTGATACAAGTGAGCCGAGAGAAGATTCGACCGAAATATTCGATGGTGCCAAGGTTAATGGACCATAATTTTCAACTGGGAGCCCCCACGTACCCAAAAATCTGGCTCCTAATTATCCAAACTATACAGTAATTTAAAGGTGCGTAGAACGGCCAAGTTTCAGACAGACTCCCAAATATTCCCTCAAGTTATCATATTCTTCATCGTGTCATTAATGGAATGGTTAATTTTGTTCGGATTCCTGTTCATGAATTTTGTAATACATGCTTATTGTGAAAATGTATTGCCAAGCGGACTGGAAATTTTGAGAAATCCAGAAAGATTTCATCTGGGTTGAGGAAGGCCTTGTGTTGTGTTTTTGACAGGGTTTTTGGCAATTCCCAAAGTTCAACACTTTGGGGATTATGGTATGGGAAAGGGCATGCCAATGTGGATTGGCATGCTGAAAGACAAATGGCAAACCATCTGATGGCAGTTGAGCTGCCAGACAGAAAGTCTCACCAGAAATTAACAAGAGTCCTTCAGTTTTATAAGGAACCAAATTACCCAAAAACACAAGAATTTGACGTTTGCTGTGCACGAGTCTGTGAAAACAAAAATGCAAAGAACCTGTGTCAAATTTGCCTGAAAGAGGCTGAATTCTTTCTTGTGGGTTTTTTAAGCTTTACCTACTCCTCCCAAAAATCCAAATTTTCAGGAAATGATCTTTTTAACATACTGTGTCTGGATAAATTGGCCCTCCCAATAGTTGGGCCAAATTTATTGGGATCTGGCAGAAGTCCTTGACACTGCTGACAACAAGACTACCAGAATAGGCTGGGGCAGAAAATGCATAAAACCCAACTGATGCAAGGACTAGCATCATCAGACAGACCTGACCCCATCACTACAACATTCTGTTTGAGATTTTGGCAAACATTTTTGAATATCTGAAATAACACTTTGTGTTGTGTTGTCAGAACTACGCGTCGTTAACGACAAAAGGTTAACACTTTCAGACATGTTTCACAACATAAGATAACTTCACACTCTTGTGTAAACGGGAATAGAGACTGTCCAACAGTCAAACAGATGTCAAGTAAGTCCATCCATGAAAATTCATAAAGACTTCCTTTGGGCATACACTGAAAAATTTCCATTCCAACCCAGCACTTTTGGAATAATCATCACTCTAGTCTCTACTCTGTAAAAGCTTGAGTATGCACTTTTCTCTTCTGGATTTTTTCCAGACAAAATTTGTACAGAAGTGGTAGCAGAGCATGGTTGTTTGTTGCCCCCTGGAAAAGTCTTCCACTGCTGAAAATTTTTTTTAAAGAAACCTTGACAAAGTTTCCAAAAAATCTTAGTATGCCCTATATGAGGAAAAAAGAAACTGAAAATCTGGCTCAACCAGATTTATCTGACTTGACCCAATTTCTCTGGCTCAATAGAAGAATTGGAAATATCTAATTAAATTCAAGCTGGGGAAAACTCCCAGAAACAAGGGCCAGGATGGCCCTCCAAGAGCCAAAATGTAATCCTTCCTCAAATTTTGAAGAAGAACAAAAGCAAAAGATCTGACTTGGAATATTCCAAGCAGGACAAACCCTCAAACAAACTCCATTCACTTTTGGTTCTCTCCAACCTAAAGCTGGTGATGGACAACCTTTCAAAAAAAAACCAAGGGAAAACTCTCCAAAAAATTTGAGAAATCCAGAAAGATTTCATCTGGATTGAGGAAGGCCTAAACAAACCCTCTCTTGAGAGGGAAGAAATGGAAACCTTTCTCAAGATTTTCAAATTACAAATGGAAATGAAGATGACCCATGAATCATCTGACAATACCTTGCTTCAATGATGGAAGGTCCTCAGACCAACCCCAGGAGAAATTCTTGGGGGAATTCTCCCAGAAACTCCCTCTAAACAAGGGGATACTATTAACCCTTGGGCGGCAAAGTTGAACTATTTTTGCAAAATTTTGTTGCACCTAAGGGCAGAAAATAAAAAAAGGACAACAGGGATTTGAGGACAAAGTTGGGGAAAAATCCAATGTTTTTTTCTTTCTGTACAGAAAAATTTCATGGGAAAATGAAAAAAATGCAATGCTAAGCAATGGGCTTTTCATGGGATTAATCCCAACTTTGCCTCAGCCCACCTGGAAGGTCTTTTCTGACCTTCAGAAAAATTAAAATGCCTTAGCATACGAGAATAATCCGATTTTGGCCCGCAATGGGAAAGAACCCTTTGCTGTCCAAGGGTTAAAGATCAAGAAATCTTCCTACTGGAACAAGCTGGGGCCTTGAATTCCACTTATCAAAAGGTCCTCAACAAGTTTTCTATGGGAATCAATTCATTCAGAATGAAAATTTTCAGACACTGCAAAAATTTGCTGCACACTGTCAAAAATTGCATACAAAGTGATCAGCTTGACAAATTCTTTCAATTGACAAATAAATACTCCATTTACAATGAAGGTCACATTTCAATATTCATTTTTTGGGTTACTGTTGTTGGGTCATGCTTGGGCCACTCCATAGCCCCCAAGTGTAGCCTATTTGCAGAGGATAGGAGAAACGTAGTACCAGGCAGGGATTGGCATGATGGGAAGTGCCTGCTACCTTCCAATTTGCGGGCGATGGAAGGTTTTACCCAAAGGCGATTATATAACGGCAAAGACCGGTCGAGACTCCGTTTCGGTCGTTCCGGGCCTCTACCGGTGAACGTTTGAAACGGACGAACACTTTCCTGGAGGCTGAGGAACTCTCAGTGTGTGCTGTTTCTGGCTAAATTGATTCCCTGTGTGACCCATTGTCATTGATTGAAAGTCTTGTGTGTTAGGATTATACTGTCTGTTACTTGCCTGACTCGTGTGTCTGTGCAATTATTAAATATTGAGTATTCTTGGGACTCCAATATTAAGGATCTGGCCTCATAAAGGCTGATTACTGTGTTCTGAATTCTTTCCACCTACTCTGTTGAATTCTGGCCCAACAACTGCTTCAAAATTCGATTACCCAAAGAAATAATTCTCACCTGAGCATAAGAAATAGACTGTTTGGAAAACTTGCTGATGATGATGATTCTCTTTCAACAGCAAATACAGCACGATTTTCTTGAAATATGCAGAAAACAAATGAAAATAAAATGCGAAGAAACTTCAGAGTCACTTGAGCTTTCATTTCAAAATGCCATTCGATGTTTCCCTCCTCGACATGAACAAGCAAACAGGAATATGCAGACACGTCAGAGTACAAAATAAAAACGTTTCCACCCGGGTTCGCAAAAACCAGGTCCTCATCAGAAGGACGTAAAAACACGCTGAACTAGAAGCAATTTTTCAAGAACTCGTGTCCTCTATACAATCAAGGACCCGAATTCTCAAAAAATCACCAGGTTTTTTTTTTCTTTTTCTCATCCGTGTGAAAGACTTAGTAATATTTGCGGTATGCGTTGTATGGGGCCAGAGCTGGGACACCGTAGCCATAGACAGCAGGCTGAGCGTAAGTCGGGTAAGCATAAGCAGCAGCCGGGACGAAGGCGTCGACGCGCTTGGTGAGGTGGATGTCGGGTCGTGGGACAGCATAGGCGCCGACAGAGTGGGCCACAATGGGGGCGGTCACGTCGTAGGCGGCCTTGACGACGGGCGCGAAGTCCTTGTGGGCGGTCGGGGCCAGGGAAGAGCGGAAGCCGTATTCGTCAGCGACGTAGTTGTTGGTCAAGATGGAGCCATCGGGCAACGGGTGACTGC